GGCGGCCAGAGGGCGGGCGGCACAGGAGGAAGCGGCGGCGGTGGCTCCATGGCCCGGGCGCGCTGAGGGACGCGGCTCTCGTCTCAGCCCGGCGGCGGCGGCCGAACAATGAAGCTCCTGAAGCCGACCTGGGTCAACCACAATGGTGAGTGTGCGCGGGGGTCGCAGGAGGACAAGCCCGGAAGCGGGTCGGGGTCCAGAGTCAGGTCGGGGCCGTACACAGGCCTTGCCAGCCTCGCCCTGATGCCCGGTGCCCGGTGCCCGAGCTGCGGTGCGTACGGGAGCGGACTTTGTCTTCCGTGCAGGGATGCCGGCGAGGCCTGGCACGTGCTCTGGGCTGGCTGCGGCGTGGTCCTCCCTCGCCCTGGGCATCTGCGCTGAGCCCTCCGCCGCCCACTTGGGCTCCATGGGGGGCCGCAGCCGGGCCCGGGGAGTGGCCCTGGGCGCCGACGCGCTCCTGCCGCGGGTGTGCATTGGCCAGGATGTGCTCAGATGGTCTTATGTATGAAACCGGGGCAGAATCCCCCTTGTGGCCTTTCAGTGGCGGGTGAAGACTGAAATCTGCAAGTCTCTGGCATGCCCTAGCCCAGGCCTGGATGTAAGTGACAGTGCCCCCAGTGGGGGGACTCTAGACCCGGACGAAACACTAGGCTCGGGGCCAGGGTCCCCCAGCTGAAGGAGTCATGCTAAATGCTCAGCTGGGGCAATAAAGGGACGTGTTCAGGGCGGATAGGACACAGGTATGTTCTAGGAGAAGCGCTTCCTTAGCTCTGTGGAAGTGACCCTAAAGCACACCCTGGGGAGACGGACTCATCCAGGCCGTTGGTTCAGGATGGACTCCGGTAACCAACAATTTTGTTATAGTTCTACCTTGTTGATAAAACTGCTACAGGAGTTGATCTTTGCTCCCCAAGGAGATGAGGGGAGAGAGCTCTTCCCCTGCCCCCCACCCCCCACCCCCGCACTGCTGCCCAGGAAGCTTCCCAGGAGGGTAGCCCTGATTCCTGCTGTCTCTGACTGCTGACAGGCAAACGGTTACCCTGATTCTGTCTTGTCCCTATTTCTACTTTGCAGTGCATCCAGAAGGAGCTGCAGTTTTCTTTTAGAGAAAGAAGAGTAGCTTTTTAGTTTTGCACTTGATCCCAGAATGTGCTCTACTACCCTAACCAAACTGAACTGAACATCTGGCTGTGTTCTTTCCATCAGAGTGCTCTCACCTTCCATCTTCTTGTGTGAAATCTTTCCCATCTTTCAGGGCCCAGGTGAGGTCACCTTTTTCTTTTGAAACTAGTCCTGCTGAGTTACTCCACTAGATGTGCTGTGTCCCTTTGTTCCTGTATTGAAGTTGTAGATGTGCTTTCCATATGCTCCAGACATGAACTCCCTCAAAAAAAATCCTTTACTGTGGAATCGATTCTGACTCATAACGACCCTGTAAGACAGAGTAGAACTGCCCCATAGGGTTTCCAAGGCTGTTCTCTTTACAGGAGCAGACTGCCACATCTTTTTCCTGCAGAGCTACTGGTGGGTTTGAACTGCCAGCCTTCCAGTTAGCATCTCAGTGCTTAACCACTGTGCCACCAGGGCTCCTTTGAACTACCTCACTTGCCTCCGTATTTCTGCTGAACTCTACAATACCTTCCAGTAATGGGTGTAAGATAAATGTTGGCTGAAACAGGTAAGAAAGCTGAGGTTTCCATAATTTGCAGAGATACATTTTGGTTTACTGTGCATGAAAGCAAAGACCTTATGCTTTAGCTTTACTTCTCCTGTGTTGATCTCCAAGAGCATTTTCTGATGTTTAGTGTGTAGATCTTTCCCTGGAGAAGTGGGCAGATCTTCAGTAGTTATAAATTATAAACAATGGTACATGTGAATCAGGAAAGGGAAAATTTTTACTGTGAACTAGTCTGTGGTATAAGTGAAGGACTGAAGGAATTCCTTATTTTAAAATACTTTGCCTAAATCAGTTTGTGTGTGTGTATGTCTAATCTATATAATCTGCCCTTTTCTAGTCTGTCTTCTATCTTTTGCCATGTAATTTCTTCTTTTTTTGATAAGTTCCCTTGTAAGACAAAAACTTTATGTTTGTGTAAGTCAAGATGCTTATGCGTTGATTATCTAGGTACAAATGAGTGAGAATCAGTCTGCATCCAGGTCTGCCAGCCTAATGTCCTGGCCTGGCAGAGTAGGGGGAGCATTGGGCCAGGAGCCAGGAGCCCCCTGAAAGGGCCTCTCCATGGTCTAGAATGGAACCTGGTAATATTTGCTGTACCTGCTTCACAGTGTGATTGTGATATTCATTTGGGAAAATAGACACACAAGTGCTGCTCAGACTATAAAGTGCTTTAGCAATCTAAAAGATAATAATAAAAGAAATTGAGACTGTGGCATATGGGATTTCTTCTTTTAGCCTAGTTCTTTGTGAAATTTCCTTTCTTTTAAAATCTCTTGAAATCAGCCTCTGTCTCATGGAGTATTGAGGACTATCAAGGGCAAATTACTACTATCCTGAAGGCAATGATGATGGCCTGAATCACTTCTGAGCTGCCTTCTAGTGAATAGTGGGAGCTGCTGTGGGCAGGGACTGCTTAGTCAGAAGCCAGAGTAGTGGATAGTGGCCACGACTTGCTTTAGATTAAAAAAGCAATAAGACTATGCTGCTTTGGAGAGTGCATCATTGCATTTTCTGGCTTCTTCACTCTGCATTCATGTTTCCTGACTCGTTATGCAACATGAACATACTTTTTCTGTTGTCTGAGAGTCAAAGGGAAAAGGAGCAGAGAACCCGATATTTTCCTCTGTGGTGGGACAGACCCATTCAGACAAGGTAGAGAAAGGGTAGCTAGAATGGAGGAAGTTAGAGGCAGATGGAGAAGTATTTGTTGGACTGTAGGAAACTTGGTTTTCATTTTCCTGGCTGATAATAGTAGTAAGACCATTCCTGTAAGGTAGGATTTCTCAACCTCAGCACTGCTGACATTTTGAGTTTTATTATTCTTTGATGTGAGGGCTGTCCGGTACGCTGCAGGATGTTTAGTGGCATCCCTGGCCTCTACCCAGTAGTTGCTGGTAGCACACACAACCCACTCCCAGATGTGACAGCCAAAGAAGTCTCCAGACATTGCCAGATGTTCATTGGTGGGCCAAAATCACCTACCCCACCCCCATCCCCCCGGTGAGAACCACTGCTTTAAGGTGACTGCTAAGTTAATAAATCTTGATGTTGTCATGTCATAGTGAAATGAGCCTTGAACCTGGAATTAGTCTTGGATCAAGACTACAGTGCAGTGTTACTACTAGCTGTCAATTCTTAGGCTTATGACTCTACTTCTGGGCCTTGGTGAAATCGAGTAAATATAAAGACTCATCCCTTCTATTTCACCATATACCCAAATATAGAAGACTCTGTTAAATCAATGTACAGGCAGTCCGAAGATGACAAATGAGTTACATTCGTAAGTCTGACTTTAACTCAAATTTGTACATAAATCGGAACAGTTAGGTACCTTATGGTTCGTATCTAACGTCGGTCAAACCATTCCTGTCTGTCTTTAACTCAAATTTGTATGTAAGTCGGAACAGTTAAGTACCTTACCTTATCTAAGGTCAGTCTTAGTATATAGTGTACCTTACTAGGCAGAAAACAACATTAAGGAAACATTTCCAGATACACTAAAACATCTTAACGTAATAATATCCCATTGCCCTTAAGTCCTTGAGTCAATGATGACTCACAAGGATCCTTCAGGACAGTAGAACCGCCCCATAGGGTTTCCAAGGAATGGTTGG